ACAGGTGAGCAGAGCTGACACCTCTCACACAGGTAAGCAGACCTGGCACTTCTCACACACAGGTGAGCAGAGACATCCCATCCCTCTCCATCCCATCATTCCATACAGATCCCTTGGGACACCCAGATCTCCACGCAGACCCCCTGCGGGCACACACCCCCCTGCCCAGGCGGCCGCTGAGGTGGTAGTGTCGGGTCACGCTCGGATCCAGCTCGGGGAGGCTCATGGCGGAAACTCCTCAGGCGCCGCTGCCATGGCAACGGCGGCGGGAACTGCGCGTGCGCAGGGACTGGGCGGGCGGAGAGAACTGCGCGTGCGCAGGGACTCCGCGGGGCGGGCGGATAGAACTGCGCGTGCGCAGGGACACCGCGGGGCGGGGATGGACTGCACGGACTGCGCATGCGCGGCTAGAAGGGTTGGGGACCTCAGCGCAGCATCAGAGCCCAAAGGGATGGGGAGGGATGGAAAGGGACAGGAGAGCTGAGAGCATCATCAGAGCCCAAAGGAATTTGGAGAGATGGAGAGGGACAGGGGAGCTGAGAGCATCATCAGAGCCTAAAGGGATGGAGAGCGATAGAGAGGGACAGGAGAGCTCAGCACATCGTCAGAGCCCAGGGACAGGGCAGCTGAGAGCATCATCAGAGCCCAAAGGAATTTGGAGAGATGGAGAGGGACAGGGCAGCTGAGAGCATCATCAGAGCCCAAAGGAATTTGGAGAGATGGAGAGGGACAGGGCAGCTGAGAGCATCATCAGAGCCCAAAGGGATCAGAAGGGATGGAGAGGGACAAGGGAGGGAGGGACAGGAGTGGGACTGGCAGCCCCTGGGGATGAACCAGAAATGGAACTGGGGATAGACTGGAGACAGGACCAGCAGCCTGGGGGGGATGGACAGGATTGGGCCAGGACAGGGTTAATTCTGCAGCATTCTGTGCCTGTGCTCCTGTGGCTCTTTGCCTCTCCTGCACACGCTGCAATTGGTGTCTGTGCTTACTGCTCCTCATCTCCTCTCCTTGCTGCTGCTGCGGAATTGTTCTTCTGGGATGGAGATGAAGTAGATGGGAATGGGAATGGAGATTGGGATGGGGATGGAGATAGGGAAGAAGATGGAGTTGGGGATGGGATGGGGATAGGGACTGAGAATGGGATGGAGTTGGGGATGGGGATGGGCATGAGACAGGAATGGGGATGTGGATGGAAACGGAGAATGGGATGGAATTGGGGATGGGATGGAGATGGGGATGGG